TATTTGCTTACGTTTCTTCTCTTCGAGTCAAAATTTTGAAATATTATCAGGAATTCTGCCAAAAAGAAAATTTGCCATTTTTTTCTTTGAACGATAATTTTGCTCGAGAAAGATTTTGTTGTAATAGAATGAAAGAATTGCGATCGTGAGAGCTAAATGATTTGATTAATCATGCTAGATCTTATAGATCTCTCGTGATACAATATTTGTAGGAATAAAGATATTTGGATGGAAAGTTTCTTTGAATTTATCGAACAGGAATCAAGGACGTTAATTTCTTGATTTCGCGAGGAAAAGGAAAAACTGATAAAATGATGATATGAATTCTGCAACGTAATGGAATTTCGTGTGTATCGAGGCTGTTTATTTTCCTTGCCTTCTGTTTATTCTTGTTCATGCATTTGCTCATTTGCATTGGAATTTCATTCAAATTTACATATAGTTTGCTATGCAGTGATATTTCCTTATATCTGCAAGCTTCTTTCTTTGTACAACAAACGTCTTAGTGTTGTAATATGTATATATATATATATATACGCGACTATTTTTTAATTAATAACTCATTACACAGCTAACATATATACATCTAAAATAAAACAAGTTGAGACCAAGACTATAAGAATTATAAATTTCAAATTCAATCACCAAGAATCAGAATTAAGATTAAACTAACTCAGTGAGATTATTTTTCTATTGATTCTTAAAAGTCACTAGTACCCTACCCTAATCTCCGTAACCAAAGTTCCTAGCAAGCGAAATCAATTGAAATTGACGATCTGACACGATTTTACAGGGACAGCAATTCTCAGCTCTTGTTAGTCCCTGGTTAACCAACGTGATGAATCGTTAGTCGAAAGAGCGTTCAACGTCTCCCTTGTTCCTTCCTCCGCAAACTATCCCGCCATTTTCTCTTCCTATTTTTTTCTCTACGCGCATGCGTAATCTTCGCTCGTAGGTATCTTTTTCCCCCTCTTTCAACCCTTTCGTTTTCTTTTTTTTTTTTTTTTTTACAATTCGAATGCCGGGAACTCATTTCACCGGATTTCCCGCGAACTATCCGAAGTTCGAAAGGAATTTCTCTCGGACACTGAGAGGATCAACACGATTACGAGAATTAAGTGATTTTGAGATAAACTGGGATGGGAATGCGAATTGGAAGGGACTATCTTCCCACGAGCATGTTAGCTACGTTAGATAGTTATCAAGTTAGATAGAATTTGAATTTACTCACTATAGTGCGTGTACGTGTTATTTTATACTTTAATTGGGTTTCATTATAAAGGGACAGAGCAGTTTGGTTATGTAACAATCACTCGGCTTTTGTTGGAACATTTTTCTAGAATCGATTGTAGAGGCCGAAAGAAATACAAAAATAGCTACACAAACGATGATAATTAAGATTTATTTGTTTATCGTGAATCACAGACAATTTCGCATTGAGAATGAATTGACCCCTTCTCTTCATTCGCTTTAATCTCTAAAAATCCTTTCAAATGTTGTCACGAATTTGCAAATCCAACAATTTCTAATTCTAATAAATTCTAACACAAAATATATCCATCTAGAAACTTTTTAGAACGCAATCAGCTTCCCCCATATATATATATGATCCACGCGCGCATACGTGATATTCTTTGCTTTGTCCAAAAAAAATAAAGTCTCGAAACGTCAAATCCCATCGATCGATCCTCCTCGATATATATACATCCGATGTATATATCAAAACATAGACCACACAGTTCACCGTACGAAACCGCGTTATCCCCAAAGATCCCGATGTCTGATCGGCTTAAATCGCGGTAACGGCCCCGCTCGTTAATCCATTATTCAACGAGCGGATCGCGCCCTACGTGATGCGGTATCACAGTGAGAATGTGTAATAATTCGGCGTCAAGGGGAAGGGAGGAGGGGGAGTCGCGATCGATCCCCCCGGCGGCGATGGGAATCGGCTGACAGCCGAGCGGCGGGCGTATCAATTTCGCGGCCAAGCAGAACGCGGAGACGAGACGGCGACGATCTTCCCCGCGTCTTGCTCGCCCGCTCGCCTAATTTGTATGCACAAGTTGATGCTGCATTTGCCTATTAATAATCTAAAACTAATTAATCTAAGGAGGCTGTGTGAACAAGTGGTTGAGAACTCAGAGGGAGCCACGGCGTTGATCAGCGTCGCGTGAATTCTTTCTTGAAAAAATCGCGAATGGGAAAGGTTTCTTCTTTTTTTTTTTGAAGATTTTCTCGATACTTTTGAACGATAGTTTTCTTTGATCTAGTGTTTTCCAAAAAAGGGGGAGAGGGAGTTTGTTTAATTTAGGATTAATTTAGGTAACTTTTTGGAAAGCGATTGGCAAAATGATGATCTTGTACGTATACTGGGAGAGAAATTTTTGGAGAGCGATGCGAAGAAAAGATATGGAAAACACTATTTTAATTTTTGATGCTTCGCTTTGGAGAATTGGAGAATTTCAAAAGATGAAATAATTTTGGGATAATTATATCAGTTGGAATAATGAAATTATTATTTTTATAATTTGAAGTGTATCAAATTATTGGATCATCAAATTTTGAAGAACACGTAACACCGTGGCTCTTTCAATTTTTTGAAAAAATGAACATGATCGACGTATATGCAATTAATGCCTCTGCGTTATCGTAATTCGTGTAAATCAAAATGTAACGAAAAAAAAAAAAAAAGAAACACGCACGAGCCGACCAGTTATTTCTTTCAACCCTCTTTTCAACCCGTTCTCGCGCTCTTGAGAGCTAAAAAGAAAAACTCGTGTTTATTGTGAGAACGAGAGGGAAAACACCGATCGACTCGTGAGAGAAAATGTATCTACGACTTTAGGAATCGAAAAATTTTGTGGGAAGAATATAGTATACGTATAATAGACAGATCTATCTATAATGTATAAAATATGTACAAATGAGAATTATGTAAATATACAGATAGTACGTACTGGAATAAGAAATACTGGGACTCAAGAAAACGCATGCATTTCAGGGACTTCGATAAACTATATAATATATATATATATAATATATATAACTATATATATATGTGTAGTTATGTATGTGTGATAAAGTTGTAAGTATAATATGTGAAAGACTGTTTTAACCCTTTCGAGACTAATAGGATGGAAAGACCAATGCATTGTGAACTAACGAATTGTAAAAAGAAATTTGAAAATTCGACTCGTTAATCTACCTTTTCTTCTTTTAATTATTTCACTGTGAAAAGAGTCTGGAAAGGGTTAAGATGCGAAGCAACATTGGGATAATAATTACGTACCCTCGACGAATTAAATCTATATATATTCTTTAAAAAATCGTCAAAAAGGAGGGAGGGGGGGAAGGGCGCGCGTAAATTCAATTTACGCATTCGAAGGTAGTAACGTCACGACGGGTATTCTGAAACATTCTCAAAATCTTAGTTCCTTTCCAATCGATTTCACGATTCTGTTCGTGATCCAACGATTTGTTTCAACGAGTTTCAATGTCTCGCTCGAAGGAGGATGCGAAGTCTTCTTGCACGCGACTTCCTACGACTCGTCTCGTGATTCGAGCGATCCGATCGTGAAATATTGACGGCCCGAATTCGGGGGGGATTCGAGGTTTTAAAGTAGCACGGCTTAACCTCCGCGGTTGGACGGCCACGTGTAATTGCAATTCAAATGTGTCGGATTACGCGAACGTATTGCGTGTATCACGAATTAACTCGATTTTGTCGGTCCCAATCCCTCTTCTCTGGACAAAAATAACGTCGGAATATCGGTTCGGGAAATTCGATTTGTATTCGATCATTTTTCGAAATGATATTTACAGTACTTCGGTGTTGATTACGATGACGATTAATTTGTAATCGATAGGGAGTTAAATTTTTGTATTTGAACATTTTGCGTTTAATATCTTCATGTTTTTGCGTTTTTATTTTTTTACTGGAACCTCCCATTGGAAAAGTTTCTCTTAAATTTTTAAACGAGAATGAAATTTTAAATTGTAAAATCATGATCGAATAAATATAACTTTTTATCAGAGTATCGAAGTTTCTCCGTGATAATAAATTTTTGTAACAATAGTGATTAATTTTGTACCGAATAAATTGAGTTTCATCGGTAAATTAAATCATCCAATTATTTTATTTAATATTAAATTTGTTACAAAGGAGGAAATTATATCTTACGTTTTATAATTTGATCAATTCGATTATATTGATTATTGTTATTGTGCAAAAAGATTTAGAATTCTGTCATCATAACAATAATAAATTATCAATATCGTTATATTTGAACACCAAACAAAATACAAATACATTTTAACAAAAACTTACACTCAAATTAAATATGTATAATCGAATTGATTTTTCTAAACATTAAACCAATATTAAAGTCACACGTATAGAAATTCCATTTCACATTTCAAATATAATTTTGTATAAAAATAAGTTAGTTTTCAATAGAAACAATAGATCTACTACTATCGTAAGCACTGTTCGCCCAAATATTAATCAACAATGTTTGACAGCAATAAAATCGAGCAATTCGTGATACGACATACGATGATAGAAACGAAATTACGTTTATCGATTAAATCCGGATGTGATCCAACTTTTTACCGTTGATCGTGGATTAAACGAGTTTCGCGATGCAACTCGAATCTTTCAGACTCAACTCGCAGAAATTAAATTTACACCGAGATCCGAGGCTTTGCTTTTTATCGAACCGACGAATTTTCTCGCGACACGAAAATTCTTTTCCGCTTTCATCCCTCTTTTTTCTTTCGTATTTTCATTCTTTATTTCCCGGAACAATTTTAATGAAATAAATTTAATTCGATCGAAATAATTTTCATTCGCGAGATACGTTTTTTTTTTCTTTTTCTTTTTTTACACCGTGAAGGAATTCATTGAATTTTTACATCCGTCCGCGGGAATAATTAGATTCGCCGATCGATTTATCGCGCGGGACCAAATTACCTATGCAAATGCGGCAAGATTGGGTTACCTGTTGTACATGAGAATGTCTGGCTTCCAGAGCTTGTTTGGTGTAATTCGAAGGTCCTTTACACCTCCGTACTCGGACTCGTTCCATTGGAGATTGTAGTCCACCCATTCCTGAAACATCGAATAATTATCGTCAGTGAAATACAAGTTTTTTTGGAATACGTATTGCGTTTTATTAATTCTTTGCGCGAGAATATTCGCTAATTGACCGTGGAGAATTCGCAGAGTTCTAAATGATAATGCTCGTGCACGAGATTAAAAAAATTGGCAATCTCTGAAATTGGAGAAAAAAAGTTTGTGCAATACTCTCTCTGGCTCCATTTCATCAAAGGATGAAGCCTCTATTTTTGATTGAATTTTTTTAAAGGGAGAATGATTTTATATTACAATTGGAATGAAAAATATATTTTCACCGATTTAAATATCTCGAGATTTTTTTAAAAAATTCTTCACTATTCATTTTCTAAATCGTTCGTTTGTAGAGAGAAGTGAAAAGTCGATGTACTTTTTTTCATTGCTTCATTATGCAGTTTCATGTTACTTAATGTTTACAGTGTATTTAGTGGATATTTATTTAACGTGGATAATGTAATTTAAACAATCATCTAAAACGATGCCAAATGATGATAATATTCATAAACAGATTCATAAATAGAAAATATTCTGATTTACACGTGCCTTAATTAATTTCTTGTCTAAATAAAATTTACACCATGATTAATATTTAATTATTCTTTAACATCGATTATCCAATCTTAACTTAACATTATCCAATTCTTATAATATGCTAATGATGAAACACGAATAATTAATCCTAACAAAAGAAAGAAAATTTTTGATAATATTTCAAAAATATAATCCATTTAAAAGAAAAATTCAATTTAATTCTACTTCACGTATAAATGTCCATTATCGGAAATAATTTCAAGAAGAATATCAATTTTCCATAGCACGCAGGAGATAACGAAACGAATCACGAAATTAGTAAAATTAATTAAATCCTGGTTAAAAGAAAAAAGTAATAAAATTATTAATTATTCACGGATACATTCTTTTTCCCCTTCCTTCGTTTTGAGAACGATCCGAAAGCCTTGGTGAATAAACACGCGATCAAATTGAATTCGACGACGTAATTTCGACCGTGAATTTCGTCGTCGAACTGTTCCCCACTTTTCAGAGAGAAAACGTGGATCCTTTCATCTTTCTTTGATTGCCTAGGCTTGAAGAATGGGCTCGCAAACGGGCAAAGCTCGAAGGCACCGTGTATACAAGCAATCCACAAAGCGTGCCGAGATTCGAGGAGATAAATTTGCTAAGAGGTCTGGGTAGAACGGCGGAAATCGGTGCTGGTGAATTACAGTCGAACGACAAGACGCTTCAAAGAGCTCGGATAATTGTTATTGTTTCGAGCCTCGAAAATATCGCGAGAACGTTGAATGGACCATTCTAAATGTAAATTGCCTAAACATCCTCTTTGTGCCTTTTGTTTCGTCTCGACGAGGAGGGACGGATTGAAGCGAAACGCAATTAAAAATAACACCAAGACCGATGATATTGAGATTGGGAAAAAAAAAGAAAGTCGTTCTAATTGGATTTGTTTGTCCTTTGTAAGATAAGTTCTTAAGAAAAAAGAAGGTTCGAAAGTTGCTCCGATTTTTTGAACCTTATTTATAAAGAAATCGCGCGAATTTGTAACGATTAAAAATATCACACAAATCTTTATTTTAACGATACAAAAATTAAGTTAAATCAAACTCAATTATTACGATCTAAAATCTTCCACCGTTAATAAATTAATAGATTATCATATCTCTTCACAAATAAAGATTCACGTTAAAATTAAATTAATCAACATTACTTATTTCATGAATTTTGATCGACGGATAACAAGATCATTACTCTTGCCAAGTTGCGTTAAGTCTGCCCTTTTGCGTCTCACACAGAGGCAACCAAATTCCCTTCGAGTTTATCACTCGAAGACATTAAACTCGCGAGATTAAGCCGGCGTCAAAACGCAAACTTTATGAAGCGAAACGAAGGAAATGGACGCGGGCAAAGAGGTTAGAGGCGAACCACCACGGCCGGTGGTTGTGTATATTTAAGCGCAGCGACTTTCCAGGAATGCGGCGACCTGGTTTTACGACCTGTGGTGTGCAGGTTGCATAGAAAACGCGGTGTTTTATAATGTATACTTCAATTTCCGGGTCCGGGCGGCCGAGTCTCGGCGTTTGCTCATTAGATTACGCGGGCGAATTGCACAAACGAGGAATTCAGAGGGTGAAAGTTCGCCTTCGCGGGGGCGGAGACGCGTCTGCCCGCGGAGATTTTCGAGTTCCTTTCCCTGGCGATACGCTAGCTTCCTGTGACCCGTGGAAACGAGGCGTAACGAACGTTTCTCTCTCCCTCCTTCTCCGTGCTGAAATAAAATTTCGTCTCAACGGCTCGCCGACCGTTTTCTATTTGCCGGAGCTTTCGGAAGGAGTTCCGAAACAGATTAAAGGATCGCTTCCCTTTACTTCTCTCTCTCTCTCTCTTCTTCACTTCATCCACCTTCTTCTTTCTTCGTTTTCTGATTTTTCGGTTTTCATCCGTGAAGAAACGCTGAAGGATTTTTACCTTTTAATCTTACGCGTTTTCATTTTCTCGAGAAGTTGAAAGCTTATTCCGTTTTATGTTGTTATATCGCGTTCCATCACGCGATGGTTAAACTTCATTCTTCTTTCGTTTTTTTAACAGAATTTTATCTTGTTTTGTATTTTACGGTGTAAGAGTTGAACTTGAGAAGGGAAAATTAAAGGATCCGTAGATTTGGTTGATCGTTTAGTTGATTTTACTTGGGCTATTTGTCTGATCATGATTGGTTTGGTTTTACTGGCGCGATTGCTATTTCATTTTTAACATTTGTTTTACACAATATATCTATTATTTATATGTGATTATAATATGATAATATCTTAGCTACGAAAAAAATTGCAATTTAAAAATTATTCTATTTTTTTTTAGATCAATTGATTAGCTTTTTGTGAAATTCGTATATATCAAAATATACTTAATGCATTTTTGTATTATTCAATTTCTGATAAATTTTGATTGACTGTTTTCTTTTACTGAGTAATTTCGATTAATTGATAAAATTGTTTAAAATTTATCAACATCCAAAAAGTGCAGAATTTTATCATATATGATTTATGATATATGTTTTACGCGTGACATAATGCTACATGATAGTTTTGTATATTATCTTGCACAAGATAGATGATATTTTTCGTATAAAATGAATAGAAAGGATTTTCATATTTCAAAATTTTTTGAATTTTTGTTTTTGTAAAAAGAATTTGGTGATTTATCATTTTTCGAAACTTACAAGTTTACAATGTTATTTATAGATAACAGATAGTAATAGAAATTTAGAAATGATATATTAATTTCCTATAATAAATCATTAATGTACATCTGACAATATAATGTTAATTTATAATTATTACCTATATATATGTAAGCAATTATAGTCAAATGAAATTACCTTTTTTAGTTTCATGAAAAATACTTTTACAGTTGAATCATAATCTTCTGAATAATCACTTATTTTATCTTGCTCAAAGATTCTCCTGTCGATTTTTTTTTATTAAAGATTTCCTTCTAAAATTTCGATTTAGCAAACGTAGTAAGCCCTATACAGAATAATCTTTTTGTAATCGCGAAAGTATCGTTATATAATATTTAACGTCTATATAATGCCTCTTTAGAATCTCAATCCCTTCTTGATACACGCAGGGCTAGTCAAAGAAGAATCATCAAAGAAAAAGGGAAAAGAACAAAGGCTAACGATATACGAGATTCGTTCTCGAACATCTTTACAAGTTTCTTACTTTACGCTTGCTCTCACGTATGAGCACATTTTTAAAAAACAAATTATTCTTTAAAATACAATACAAAGAAAAATTTAGAACAAATATTTTGTTAAATGTAACCAGGAATTAGAAATAAGGAAAGCTGGATTAAATTTACATCATTTTGTAAAATCATATTATATTAGGTATCGATAAAAAATTTCTCGGTAAAAATTTAACAAAATAAAACAAATTTGAAATAAAATGGCAAAAAATTCTAAGTTTTAAAAGTTGCTGTAAGTGTTTTTCTAAGATATTAGAAGACTTTTGGTCTCAGGTGTTTTCCATAAAATGCGTAAGAAAAGTTTGAAGGAAACGATTGAACCTCATTGTGGATGATTATAGGTAAGAATATTACAAGTTTCTGCATAATGTCTACGTAAACAAAGTTCGAACGATATCTTTGTTTATATAATAAGTGAAGAACGAGAGTATGTTTTCTATCTTAAAAATTTTAAGATAAGTGTTTAAATTAATTCCTAAATATGAGTTAAAAATATTTGCAACTTTTCGCGTTGAATAATAAAATAAACATTTGGTATGTTTATAAAAATATAATTTTCTATAATCTAATATCATTAATTTATAGTAATATTCAATTTCTTGTAATAATTTATGCAATATACGACAACAATTCCTTATTATTAACAAAATTTATTTGCATAATAATACTTTGTTACTAATACTAATATAATTAACTAAATTTGATAAATATTTTTCTTTATTCCTAACATTTATGATAAATTTTGTTCATTATTTAATTAAATAAAATTAGTTTTTTTCATCTTTTAAACAATAATTCTTTTATATAATAATAATATCAACTTGTATTTATTCCAAATTATACATTACTTTTCTACTCACTTATATATTTTCTAATCAACTAAATGAAATAACTTATTATAATAAAATTTATAAATAGAATATACAATAATTATTATTTAATCTAATCTCTTTTCCACTATATTTTACAAAATGTGAGAAAAAAATTTAGTAATTTAGTAAGGTGAGAATCTGTGGAAAAGGAGAAATAATAGGAATAAATAAGATGGCAGAAAAATTCGGTGGAAAAGAACTTTGCCATAATCCTTTTTCCACTGGACGATATTTCTACGAAGCATACCGACACTTAGGTTTGTGGATTATGTGATCCTGCAAGTGATCAAGTAGCAATGTTACTATCTCTCTTGGGAGTTTAATCTCGCACCTACAGAACGTGAT